AAAAAAAAAAAAATTTAAGAAGGAAAAGTATAAGACTGTTTCAATCAAAGATCTAGTGTAGGACTATAACTTTGAACAAAAACTATCATTTGGAGGTCACTACGAGTCTGATCTAGTGGTGAGACCCTGACCATCCTATATACCCTTAAATTGGAGGGGAAAAAAAAAAAGAAAAGAAAAGAAAAAACTAAGAGACTTAAGAAGGAAGAGACATCACCCAGATGCAGTGTAGAGGACAGGAGCCAGGAACACTTAAACACTGTACGTAGTGCTGTCTGTTCGGACATGCTAATGACAACATACAGTTCTATCGAGATTCAGCAGAACTCAACTCTTCCTGCTTCACCATGGACTTAAAGTACCATGAATCTTCCTCTTTTTTTTCCCCCATAATTTTATTGATAAACAAATAGTAATGAGACAGTTTCAAATCAAACTGGTAGGACAGGTTGAATAATTCACACATTGCATACAAAAGAAAGTTTTTTTGGGGGGCAGAACTGGGGATTGAACTCAGGCCCTTGCGCTTGCCAGTGAAGCACTTATTCCACTGAGCCATCTCCCCGGCCCCCTTCCTCTTTTCTGCGACGGCCAAGTGGAGAACGTGAGCAATGACCCCCGGGCACTGGCATGACTCAAACCCAGGCCCTACTGCACGACCCACTGCTGTCCAACACCGCCTTCGCCACTGTCATCTAGGTAAGGCCACACCGTAACACGGTGTGATGACCATTACAGCTCGTCCCTGGGAGCAACCCAAGGTAGGAGAAGACGGGTAAGTGGACAATGAAAATGTATCACACCTGCTTTAAAGTGCATACCACAAATGGTAAGAGGTTATTCAACAAAGCAAGTGGGTGCTGTGCTATTCTTACAGCAATTACGAATGCTGCAAAGGCACTGAAGGTTCAGACACGCTACACCGTGGGTAAGCTAGCTCATGACCACTTGGACGGACCTGAGGACAGCCGGGTCCACTTCGGGTCCAGAACACGTGAGTTGTGGTGCTGGACTGGGTTTGTAGAGGGTTTTCCCACCCTGGTACTCTGGACAACTCTTCAGCAAGGAGTAGTGGCACTGCAGGACATTAAGCAGCATCTCTGGCCTCTACCTAAAGACATCAGTGGTACTCTAAGTTACGGAGACCAAAAATGTCTCCAGATGTTAGCAGGCATCCTGTGGGGCCAAAACCCCATACTTGAGAACCTCCAGCCTAGAGCGACTGTGGCTGTTCTGAAATGGTGGGCTTCACAGGAGCTGTGACTGCCCAGGGAATGCTAGCAATTTTGTGAGGGCTCCTGTCACAAAATTGGGGTAAGTGGATGAAATGTGGGCAGGGGCCATGCGTGCGGCCACAACTGAAGTGTTGAACAGTCACTAGTGGGCCATGTGCACAGTGTACAAGATACAGTGATCGTTAACTCAGGCTCTAACTTGGTCTCACTTGTAAGCACAAATTAAATCGTGGTGGGCTTAGAATTTATAGAGAATTTCCCACAGATACAACAGCGTTTTGTTTTGCTCAAAACTTCTGTAAGACTTAGCTGACACTTGGAAAGTCATGCCCTGTACAGAATGCCCCTTGCAGTGCCTCTGTGGCACCAGCCCACCTGATGGTCATGTGTAGCAGGTAACTGCTGGTCCTTGGGTGATGCCCCACACAGGACACGATGAGACAGCGTGTGGGCTAGCACACATCGCTCGATCACCAGTAACTCTGATTTTTGTCTTCCTTTACAAAACTGGGCCATATATTACTTTCCTATATTACACAAAGGACAGTTTTTATTGTTTCTGTTTTTCAAGACAGCTTCTCACTATAGCTCAGGCTGGCCTTGAGCTCTCTGTGGAGCCACCTGCCTTGGTCTCCTGAGTGCTGGATGAACACATGCGCCTCCACACCTAGCTGTGGGCAGGTTCTATCACCGGTGAACTCATTCTGATACATGGCAGGGATGCCCTGAAGTATCAGCTACTAAGAGACCCTGGGCTTGAAGGTTTGGGACTCAGCACCTGCCTAAGGGAGCCAGAGGTCACCATGGCAGCACCCGGCCCCTCCTGCCAGACAACTACGCAACTTACCATGTTGGCACACCTGAGGTTCAGAGGTCACAGCCAGTGCTTCTCTTCTAGGTGGACTCTCTGTGGCTGAACACAGCAGATGAGGCCATGGAGGGCTCCTCCACTCCAATGACATGGATGGGGTTTTTCTCCTGTATGAGCTTGTGGATATCAAACAGGGCCAGTGCCCCACTTGCTGGCTGCGCTGCCCTGGCCTGATCCTGGGTGCTCTGTCCCAACCCTGTCTGCAGATGCCGGGTGTGCTGTGCACTCCTGGGCTGCTGGCGTCTACGGGGCCGCCCAGATGGCTCTTCGCCCCTGGTGTGGGTGATCTGGTGGCGGATAAGGTGGGAGCTTTGGGTGAAGCACTTCCCACACTGGATGCATCTGAAGGGCCTGTCACTGCGTTGTGCCCTCTCCTCCTGGCTCAGGGGTGGAGTGTCTGCCCACGGTGGCCGTGCCAGAGCCATCTGCTCAAAGATGGGGCGGCAAGTGAAGAGAGGCTCCCCTGCATGTTTGCGCTGGTGCTGGGCCAGTGAGGAACTGTGCCGGAAGCCCTTGCCGCAGTGGTTGCACTCATAGGGCCGCTCCTCAGTGTGCGTGCGCAGGTGCAGGAAGAGGCAGGTGGTGCGTGAGAAGGCCTTCCCACACACACTGCAGGCGTAGGGCTTTTCCCCAGTGTGCGTCCGCCGATGCCGGCCCAGGGATGAGTTCTGGTTGAAGGCCCTCCCGCAGTCCTGGCATGCGTAGGGCTTCTCGCCAGTGTGGATGCGGCGGTGCACAGTGAGGTGCGTACTGTGGCAGAAGGACTTCCCGCACTCTGCGCACTTGTAGGGCTTGTCTCCCGTGTGGATGCGCTCATGCTGCACGAGCGAGGAGTTCTGGCTGAAGGCCTTCCCACACTCCTTGCACACGTACGGCCGCTCACCTGTGTGGATCCTCTTGTGCACAGTGAGGTGTGCATTGTGGTTAAACGACTTCCCACAGTCAGTGCATTTGTAGGGCTTCTCAGGACCCTGGCTCCTCGGAAGCTCAAGGCCCAGGATGGTCTGGTCGGAGGCATTGTGGTCCCCGTGAAGCTGTTTTTCCTGGGAGCTCACGGGCTCACTGGCCGCGCCCGGCTCAGGGTCCGTGCCTGGCTCTTGCGAGTCAGAAGCACAGAGGTATTCTCCCGTGGAGGTTGGGCCGGGGCCCAAGCTGGAGCTCGGCACACAGCTCTCCCCGCACTCGGGTCTTCCGCAGCTTTGGCTGCGAGTGCCTCCTTCCTCAAGGCCGGGTGCCAGGAGCCACCCATCGCTCTGGTCCTCCTTGGGTGCCGGGCCCTGGCCTTCACATGGCCGTGCGCCCGCCGTCAGGGAGGAGCAAGCAGCGACCCTTGGGAGCTCTTCCCTTTCAGTGCCAGTGGCCGGTTTCTTTTCAGGAAAGCCCGGCTCACAGCCTGCAAGAAATCCCAACACCTTTGAGCTGTTGTCAGAAGACGAGAGAAGCACTGGCCCCATCACTTCGCTAAGGTCCTACCTACCTGCCGGCAAGCCCGATTCAGCCTGCCTTAGACACAGCCTCACTCCTGGCCAGGCGCTGCTGCATGCACCACAGGGAGGGCATGAGCTTCATGAGCTTCCCGACTGGCGCTGCTCGCCACGCGTAAGTCCTTTTAACTATCTGACTGGGCTGAACCAGGAAGGCACCTGCATGACTGTCCTCTGGTGGCTTATAGCACTAGCGGCTAGGATAAATCTCATCACTTTTTTTGTGTTGTTTGGGACACAGTCTCACTATGTAGGTCAGGCTGGCCTTGAACACATGGTGACCCTCCTGCCTCAGCCTCCTAAATGCTGGGACTACAGGCATGTCACCACACCTGGCTGGATCTGATCAGCTGTATGGGGTCTTTTTAGTAATAAAATTTAAAAAGGTGGCAAGTAGACTGAATCTAGTTGGTTGCTTGAATCTGAGTAATTATGCCCAAATAAATATTAGTACTATTACAAAAGGGCATACCCGGGTTAGCTATATAATATGATCAAATTCAAATCAAAGTTTCCCAGAAGCAAGACAAAAATTATAGTCCCCCCACAAACATGTTAAAGTAACATGTGCTTTGTACCTCAGGTTCTGGGAGGCTCAAGTCCTACGCCCAGAGATCAGCCCAGGGCTGGTACTCTGGATGATCGGGGAGGGTTCCCTGCCTGCCCCAGCTCTGGGGAAGCCCGGTGCCTCGGCCCTGCTGCAGCTCCAGGACGGCAGTGGGGACCCTCCAATCTCTCAGCGACCTTTTCGTCTCACCACACAGCCCTCTGCCTCTGACGCCTGCATCACACGGGCTGTGGGGTCAGGATGTGCGCACTGCTGGGCACCCTCCGCCCTCCTGAGCCTCCTTAGCTGTGAGTACTGCTCATGACAGATGCCTGTGCTTGTCCTTCAGGGCCCGGCTGGGGCCTAAAGCTGACATCTCAGGGAATGCTGGGGTGACCAGGGAAAATGAGAGCCCAGCCACAGAAAAGGCCCCAGGGGAACAGGGGCGAGCCAGATGCTGGCCTCCTAGTCTAGCTATGCCATCAGGGCTGCATAGGACAGGTCAGGACACACAAAACCCTGTACACCAGTGTTCACGGCAGCACTCTTCTTAATCACCAAAGAGGTGCCCATCAACTGGTAAGTGGATGAAGAGAAGACACAAGAACTGCATATTAACAAAACTGTCACAAGCAGCCCACAGACCCACCTTCCCCCAATAACAGGTCTGCTGTGGTCACTCTTCCACTGACTGCACCTCCCGATGCGATCCAGGCCCTGCGCTGGCTCAGCCTCCCATGCCCTCTGCTCCCTGCCAGCTCCGCCCCATCCCTCCGGAGTGCCCGCTACTCCTTCTCCAGCACTCTTGCACACCCTACCACCTCTACCTGGAACCGCACCCCCAGGCATCTGCCTACCTCTATGGTTTAATTTTTTTTTTTTTGCGGAACCAGGGATTGAACTCAGGCCCTTGCACTTGCCAGGGAAGTGCTTATTCCACTGAGCCATTTTCCCGGCCCCTATGCTACTTTCTAAAAGAGGTTTCCTGCCATGGCCTTAGCATCCTGTCCTACATGCTCCAGATATAATTTTTTTTTTTCCCATCTCTACCTGGCACTGGTGCCCACTTCTCAGAAAAGTCTGGCCTTGCCCTCGTGTTGAGGAATGGTCTGCTGAAGGGGCTCATGAGCTGGGAGATGGACTGAGATGTGACCCTGGCAATTTTACCAGGCAGCAGTCAGCAAGAACCTGCCTGGGTAGACACTGCCAGTAGGCAGGAGAGGAAGGCCCAGCAGGGAGACCTGCCTGAGGCCCTCTGGGGTGCAGTGCTGGGCAGCCCCACACTCCACCACAGCAGGAGGAATTTGATGGGGGGAAAGGAAGCAGGAAGGTGTGGCGTGAGGAAGGCGCAGGCCCTGGCACCAGCCACTGGTCCTGACTGTACAACCTTTTAAAGGATGCCAGAAAGGATACTGCAGAAAGGATACTGAAGACAACATTAAAACAGAAATAAAGTAGGCTGGCTTGTGTCCTAAGCATCATCTTCTACAGAGTCTGCAGGAGAGTGAGTCAGCAGGGTGGGTGATGGAAATGGTACAGTGACCTGCTTCTGTGATGCAGAAGAACCTGTAGGCTGGGACACGGGTGGCCTCTTGGGGCTAAAAAGGGATTTTCCTCTGGAGCCCCCAGGAGGAACCAAGCTTGTGAACCATCTTGAGCTTCCAACTTATATAACAGAGAACTTAAATCTGTGTTTTATTAAAGCCATCTAGGCTGTACTCTTTGTTATAGCAGTAAAAGGAAACTAATACAAAATATTACATGAAAATACATTTTCATATAAAGGGCCAAGGGCACACCTGGGATGCTGGCACAATGCTTAAGCAAATGAACCTGCCTCCCATGACTGGAGACTGAGGCAGGAGGACTGCAAGTTCCAGCCCAGCCCAGGCAGCCTAGCAGGACCCTGCCTCAGAATAAAAAATAAAAGGGCTGGGAGTAGTTCAGTGAAAACACCCTGGGTTCAATCAATCAATCACCACCACCACCACCACCACCATCACCACCACCACAAAAAAAAAAAAAAAAAAGGGCTGGGAGTAGTTCAGTGAAAACACCCT